GGAAGTAAATACTGTTAAAATCTCTTAGTTTTATTTCGATACAGTGTGACAGAGAGAGACGACTCATCTTACAAATCAAAATCTAAAATTAGAGAACAATTTTTTTTGAAATCTTTTTTAGAGAACAAATCTTATCATCTTTGATCATATTTTCGATATTTCTTTTGTTATTGTTATAAATGTTTTGAATGGCAATAAATCATAGTCTAAATATAGTGTTTTTTTTATTGATATTGATTAAGAATGAATAAAATTATAAAAAGAAAAAACGGTTTCTTCCGCACCGATAATTTAATGAAAATCAGACTATTTTGATGACATATTAATGACATTAATTTTTTTTTGTTATTAATCTCGAATGATCAATGAAAAATAGATAATTTTGGCGATAAAAAGAAACCGCCATAGTTTAAATAAGTAAATAGCTTAAATATTGATTAAAAATGAGGGTTCGCCATAGTTTTGGTTCTCTCCAAAGCACGAGTTTCGAGGCAGCCGCATGACATCTTTAAAATGAGTATCCGTTTCCGGCAATCTTCCTCCGACGAAACTTCCACTTAATCGTTTGCTCTCCTCTCTCGGGTTTCCCTAACCTTAGCTCGAAGAATCGTTAGAATCTTCTTCTGCTGGGTGGCCTACACAAAAACTCAAGCGAAGTGGAATCGTTAGAATCTTCCTCCGGCTTCAATCCTCTTTGGCGCAGCTTAACGACATTTCCCATCGGAACCGTCAAATCCACTTGATCTAGGCTCTTCATCTGAACTGCCTGGTTAGATCTCCTCCTTCGCCGAACTCCACCTCTCTGCCTCTGTCAAGATCATTTTTCTAATTATTCACCGCGTCCTTTTTTTTCCATGAGATATGTTTTCATTGGCATGACCCATTATACATGCATGTTATGCTTCAAACCTGTTTGTTTTTAGCTCATCCTCCAAAATATCCCAGTCCAATATTGTTGCTAAGGCTCACAGTTCCTTTGCCGAGTTTGTAGATTTATTGGAGATGGATATTCTACCAAATTCTTCTCTCTTTATGGAAAAATCACTTACTCTTTCCTTTCCTTTCGAAGAGCACTCGCTATTTCATCCCCTTTCATGGAGAGATCACTTCCATTTTCCTGCCTTTATCGGGAGAGAACCATTTTATTTGGTCTCTTTTCTACGAAACGTGATTCAAGCCCATATATAATGGAGGGAAAAATGTCCAACACACTCACCGATTTGTCTTCTTGCGTAGTGGTCCTCATAGGGCCAGAAAAACAACCAGATTCGTCGCGATGAAACTCAAATGTGAGGATTTGATTTTAACGTACAACATGAAGTGACTAAGTCTCAACATTCCGGCTATGTCGTGAAGTTTCAGTCGACAAATTCGAGTTTTGTCTTAAATTCGCTGTTAATATTCTATAAAGATCTATCTTTTTTCTATACTAGGATATAACCTGTGCATTCGCGTGAGCAGTCGTATTTATTTTCAAATTTTATACTCTTATATGTATTTTCTATTATTGTAGCAATTAAAGAAAATGTGTATCATGGATGTTTATAATTATTAATCTAATCAAAAGTTTTTTATATGGCAAAATTATAGCAATTAAAAACATTGGTTGGAAAAAGAAAAGAAGGTATGATACAATTTGAGGATGTAAATGTCCATATTAAACGGATATGAAGACTGGTCAAGATTTAAACCTTTGATTCATGATAAGCTCTTTCTCTCTCAACTTAAAGAGGTTAGATTAGTGTTCCGTCAAAGAAACACTAATAGAGTGGCCGATAGGATAGCGAGGGAAGCTTTTTTGTTCTCGAATTATGTTTCAGACGCTATTCTTTAGTGCTAATTTGGTGAAAAGATAATATTGAGAATGATGTAATGTTAAACTTTCATTTGGATGAATGATTATTGATGTTGAGACCCAAAAAAAAAGCCCATTTTAAACATGCCTATTAAAGCCCATATATATTTGATTCGCTATTTGATCAACCTTATAAATTCCTCGAGTCTGCCTCTTCTTCGTAGCCATTCTTCGTTCACGTCAAAACCAGTCACCGACTCGCCATACCCGACCCGTTTTTTTGACCCGAATCCAAATCAGAATCTCCGTCGGCGTTTCATCTCGCTTCGCCGAGTACCTTACAACGGAACTCCAAGCCACCGCCGATTTCCCTCCGCCGTTTTAGATTTTCACGGATTGATACTATCGGAAGAGAAGACAAGAGACAATCTCTGAACCGAATCGCTCAGGAGAATCAACATGGGGCACGGTAATAATCTCGATCCTACTGATTCTTTTGGTGGTTTTGATCGAATTATCTATGCCAATACTCGTTGGGAATTTTTGATCTTTAGGTGAAAGAGGAAGATCTAGCAAGAAGATGAAGTACAGTGCGAAGGTTTGTGTTTAGTTTTCTTCAATATTCTCTACAAATTTTCAGTTACTGTAATTCACTGAATTTTCATGAAAAAAAAAAATTCTCAGGATGATCAAAAGATGAAGAACATTCAAAACGAAGAGAACTATTTCGGTGATGATGCTGATGAGGATTCTCGTGATGGTAAAATTCACTACTCGGTTGATTTTAGTGCTTCTTAGATAGATACATGGTAATGGAATGAATATATAAATTGTGATGGTTTTGTTGAAGGTGAAGGAGATGTGAAGAACAGGGATTTTACTAAATTGGAGTTGAAGCCAGATCATGGAAATAGACCTTTGTGGGCATGTGCTGATGGAAGGATTTTCTTGGAAACTTTTTCTCCTCTCTACAAACAAGCTTATGATTTTCTTATCGCCATAGCCGAACCTGTTTGCAGGTGCTCGTCATATAGATTTTGATACATAGTCAAGGTTTAGGGTTGTGGTATATTATTTTGAGTTGAGTTTTGTGTATTTGTTGTTGTTTCAGGCCAGAGTCGATGCACGAGTATAATTTAACCCCTCATTCGCTGTATGCTGCTGTTTCCGTCGGGCTTGAGACAGAAACTATTATTTCTGTTTTGAATAAGCTGTCTAAGACTAAGCTACCGAAGGAGATGATTGATTTTATCCATGATTCTACCGCCAATTACGGGAAAGTGAAACTGGTGTTGAAGAAGAATCGGTATTTTATTGAATCTCCATTCCCGGATGTAAGTTCACAAGTCTTATCCTATTTCTCTGGTCTTGTATATTTTGATATTGGTTTTGTTTTTCCATTGTTTTTGCTCAATTCTTAAAATCAATTTTAGGTGTTGAAAAGGCTTCTCAGTGATGATGTTATCAAGCGAGCTAGATTCTCTTCAGATGTAGGTTCAACTACTCCATTTCAGTGCATTATGTTTGTTTTTTGTGGTTTCTAGATTTCATCTTGATGGGGGAATACATAATCATGATCGATTGTTCTCAATGGATTTTGCGTATTCTGTCAACAATGTGGCAGATATATATATATCCTGGGTTTTCTCAGGTTCTTGGTTTCATGTTTAAATTCTTTAAGTTCTTTGGAACTATGTTTCCAATTGGTAGATAGAATGCATCATCCTTCCTTCTTAAACCCCTTGATTCATTCAATGTTGGATTCTCTTTTCTTATACCGTTGTTTTCTCCACTGTATGTCAGACCAACTTATTATATTAATTTTTTGCTAGCCATATGGCGATGATGGATTCACGATCGGCAAAACAAGCGGTGAACTTGAAGCAGGACCTGGGGAGCTGTTGAAT